GGTTATATGCTGTGGAGTAGGTTCTGACTCATAACAATCCTGTATAGGATTTCCAAGGCTGTACCCTGTATATAATTTCCAAGGTTGTAAATCATTACAGGAGCAGAAAGCCTCATCTTTCTCCTACAGAACAGCTGTTTCAAACTGCCGACCTTGAGGTTCGTAGCCCTATTCGTAACCACTATGCTACAAGTTGTTGTTGTTGTGTGCCGTGGGGTCGGTTCCAACTCATAGCAACCCTGTACAGGGTCTCCGAGGCTGTAAATCTTTACAGGAGCAGAAAGCCTCATCTTTCTCCTGCTGAACAACTGGTAGTTTCGAACTGCTGACCTTGCGGTTCGCAGCCTGATTCGTAACCACTCTGCTACCAGAGCTCCTTATGCTACAAGTAGGAAGTGCTAAATGGAAATTTGGAATCTCCATCGTCATGTTCTTTACAATTTTGAGCCAATAACTCATCAGGTTACATGAACATTGAGGGAACGTTGAATTACTAGCTGAGTCCTCTGTGTGGCTCTGTGGGCTAATGTGTCAGACTGGAAAGTCATGTGAACTGCAAGGTCAGTGGTTCAAGCACATCAGCTGCTCTTGAAACCCTTTACAGGGTCACTATGGGTAGGAATCGACTCAACAGCACTCAACAACAACAAAGAAGGCAATTGTCTCGATGAGTGTTCTTCAATGATGTGTTTTCTTTGCATTTGCTCTGCCACCTCTCCTTAGAGCCCTAAAGCACTATCAAACCCAAATGGATAATTGGACAGTTGGTTGGTGACCATCAAGCTAACATGAACTTGCTTAGAGCTAGACATACAGGAAAATGTCCCTGTTATTGTTGTTAACTGTCATCAAGCCAATTCTGACCCATAGTGACCCTGTATAGAGTTTCTGAGGAAGCAGCTGGTGGGTTTGGATCACTGATTTTGCAGTTAGCAGTCCAGTGTTTATCCTACATTGCCACACCAGGACTCCCTAGGTAACATAAATGGTTTGTTGTTGTTGTTGTTATGTGCCGTGGAGTCAGTTCCAACTCATCGGAACCCTGTACAGGGATTCTGAGGCTATAACTCTTTACAGGAACAGAAAGCCTCATCTTTCTCCCACGGAACAGCTGGTAGTTTCGAACTGCTGACTTTGAGGTTCCAATTAGTAACCACTACTCTGACTCATAGCAACCCTGTATGTTTCTGACGAACAGCTGGTGAGTTCGAACCTCCGACCTTGCTGTTCAAACTGACCTTGCAGACGCTTGCATTAACCCACAGCACCATACCAGGACTCCTGATATGGACTACTACGTGATTTTAAATCCTACAATATTGCATATTGTCTTTTTTTTGCATGATGTAATGATATTCTTTCTTTCCTCCTTGCAAAGTCATAGCAGGGATTAGGGAAACAGAAGAGAAATTTTATTACATCGTACAGGAGGAGAAGAACTACCGAGAATCTCTGCTCCATTGTCGGATCCGGGGTGGAATGCTAGCCATGCCAAAGGATGAAGCTGCCAACAAGGTCATTGCTGACTACGTTGCCAAGAGTGGCTTCTTCCGGGTGTTCATTGGCGTGAATGACCTAGAGAGGGAGGGACAGTATGTCTTCACAGACAGCACTCCGCTGCAAAACTACAGCAACTGGAAAGAGGGGGAGCCCAGTGACCCCTCTGGTCATGAGGACTGTGTAGAAATGCTGAGCTCTGGGAGATGGAATGACACGGAGTGCCATCTTACCATGTATTTTATCTGTGAGTTTGTCAAGAAGAAAAAGTAACTTACTTGCCTCATACTCCACATTTGTTCTCTCCCTATAACGATCACTGCAGTGTTTTGTATCCATTCATTTTCTTCCAAAATACACTAACTTCTCTTTGATTCATGACAAGTTGTTGTTGTTGTTGTT